TAAGGTATGGTATGTCTGTAGTGCGCATTTCTTTTTATCAAACTTGGAATGGGCCCGAAAGCACTGCTGTTACATAAAAGCCTGTGTATTTAAAAACCAATGAAGCGAGACCTTTGAAATTTTCACAGGAACTACACAATTAAGTGGGCTTTCTAAATATGTAAACTTAAATTGAGTATAAAACTTGATTTTGGTAATTATTCTGTGGTCTATGAGAGGGACATTTTTTGGGGGACACGCTGTATATATTTCATTGTCTCCATATTTTTGCAATAATATCGAATCTGTTGTAATGAAACCATTTGTATACAGAGACAACCAGAAATCTTGCTTCCACACCCGCATTCTATCCTATTCAAAAGTTTCAGTAGTGGTAACCGCTCGTTTTTACGGAGAGTGGACAATTGTAGCTATTCATTTCATTCGCACTCGCCCCGGTTACACAATGAAAACATAGTGTCGGCAGGAGTAATAACATTGGCAACTAAACCGCCAAACTTGCAGTCCGCTCCATGGCAATCTTACCGTTCGGTGTTGAGATGTGTCACTTCAGGCTCAAACGTTCTATATTTGTCAAAATAATGACATTTTTTTTTCAAATTCGTCAGGTAATGATGATCTTGCATACTGGACATCATGGGGCTAAGATTATTGTCCATTCTTTTAATCACCAGTTATTTGATAGAAAATCCCCGGGTGGTTCAGTTGAAGCGACGAGCGGGGTATCGAAGCAGGCGAATATATCAACTAATAACTGCGGGCGACAGGTTCCCAATCGTTTCTGCTGACCAAGGACCTATTCTCACGAACAGGACTTTCAAGACTGAAGATGCAGACGAGTCACGTTCAAAGGAAATATAAAAACTAGAGCTTCTTAAAATACGCTACGGAGAACTGACGTACAGCCACAACGCTTTTGTTTCATACAGTGACAGCACTGTTTGTTCCTATAAGTAGTTAGGTAATACGTAGTACACTGCTTACATCAGGTAATACACTGATGTTGCTGACAATGGCTCGACCAAGTTCCAAGAGTGCTGTGGTGCAGACCATGGCTCGACCAGGTTCCAAGAGTGCTGTGGTGCAGACCATGGCTCGTGCAGGTTCCAAGAGTGCTGTGGTGCAGACCATGGCTCGACCAAGTTCCAAGAGTGCTGTGGTGCAGACCATGGCTCGTGCAGGTTCCAAGAGTGCTGTGGTGCAGACCATGGCTCGATCAGGTTCCAAGTGTGTTGTGGTGCAGACCATGGCTCGACCAGGTTTCAAGAGCGCTGTGGTGCAGACCATGGCTCGATCATGTTCCAAGAGTGATGTGGTGCAAATCATGGCTCGACCAAGTTGCAAGAGTGCTGTGGTGCAGACCATGGCTCGACCAGGTTCCAAGAGTGCTGTGGTGCAGACCATGGCTCAACCAGGTTCCAAAAGTGCAGTGTTGCAATTTTTGTTCTTAATAGGCTTATCTGCTGCGTTTTACCACCTTGGCTGCTTCGTTCAACCTGGTAAGACTTTATCGTTTCTCAAAACGCCGCTGTCCCCATGCTGACGAATTTTACATGCCCACGAATTTCTAGTAATGCAAAACGTTATCCTACTAATAATTTCCTGCAGGGAGCACAATTGGGGACTAGACAATTTAGTGAAAATTCGAGTGAAAACAGAAGTGAAAACTCGATTTAGCAATTTCAGTGAACGAATTTTACTCTAGTTCGTCTTGTTCTCATTTGAATGGAGTAAGTATTTACTTGAGTAAGGTGAATACTCTCTTTGGAAATAAGTAGTTTTGCACTTTTGCCAGAGACGACAAACGCAAACAATAATACGGGCGGCTCTTTTTGTGCATTACAGGTGCAAAAGCAAACCAAAATATGAGACCTATTTGTTTGTTAGGGCTGCAGACGCTCAAATTTGAAAACAGATGTTTACTGGTGCCAGAGAGAGCACGCCTTGTGTCCTCTGTGTATCTGACTTTAATGACTCACTAACTTAATTAGTCCCTCGCCGACTATCATTCTTGACTTACACTGGTCTACACCTGGGACAAAGTTGTAATGAGTTACTGATTATTTTTTGTGACTGGAGTCGGGTCGAGTCCTTTTAAAGAAGAGACTCGAGTCGATTGAGTCATTAGGTCAAGAAGGTCGAGTCGAGTCACAGTGTGTGGTCGAGTCGATTTGAGTCAAGTCGAGTCACATATTGAGCTCGAGACGATTCGAGTCACAAGACAAGCGAAAGTCATTTGTATCACTATCAGTCAGGCTATCTGGTTTAACTTCGGGTCAAGAATTGTTTCGCCGATCGCTGACAGCATCAAAACCAAACTGCGTTATACAAAACTGTTTCTGGTTATATTATTTAAAAGTGGGCATGTATATATTATGTTTTTAAAAGGAGGGCTTAATTTTGCCTGCGTTTGAATCCAAGAGATTAATAAGAAGTCGCCCAAAGCCACTGATGAAACCGCGAATTGGAAAATGTGTTTTAAGTCCGGTTCCTGGATAGTATTTTATGCGTTCCAGAACTACAAGGTGGGAGTCTTTGACATGTATGTTGGTACACGACAAGCAGCCGCTGTAGCGTACTGTATTCGAAAGTGACTTGAACATAGGCCTACGTTTTGAACCGTAAGTCATTGCAAATATTTGTTTTGGAAAGTTTCGTTTATGTTTTGGGGACTCGAGTCTTATTAGCCTTTGCTTGAGTCGAGTCTTCTGATTAAGGACTCGAGTCGAGTCGAGTCATTTGCTCGCAGTGACTCGAGACGAGTCGGGTCATGTACCCATAGCGGAAAAGCATCCCCCCCAAAAAAAAAAATTAGGTGCGAATTCATATTGCTGTCAATTGAATGCACATTTAAAAACATGGGCGTCGGCAGGGGTGTGTGGGGTGCATTCAGGTCACAGTGCAAATTTATTCCAATTCCATTAAACCTTCATCACCTTATATTATTCTCCAGTGGCCTCGACGGCTATCGAAGATTTCTGTGCACGTGAAAAGACTCACTGCGCACCGGACTGTGGCGATGATTATTTCCTCAACGGTGTACCTGTGAAAAGGTTTAACTGTCAATGTGACACCAACTGTGTCGTGTATGGTGACTGTTGCATTGACTACTTGGACCACTGCGCCAACGGCACTGATCCCTGGGCAAGCCGCTATGATTTCTCGCCTCATATGGCCTGTGTTCCCCCTTACGATCCAGACAATAAGGTCAGCTATCTGGCAGTTGGACAGTGTCCATTAGATTGGCCCATGGACGACATAAGACAAAACTGCGAAAATGAGACATTGGCCCGATTTCAGAGATTCCTGACGCTTTTGGTTAATGGACCAGATGATATTGTCTTCAAGAACGTCTATTGCGCTATCTGTCACCACGTCACTGATCCGGTAGCCTGGAACATCAGACTGTGGGACTGCGAGCCTGCGGAGGGAGAGACCATCTCCGTCTACCACGGTGGCAAGCCCAAGTTGGATACCTGCACAGGCATTGAGGCAGTTCCCCCTACATCCATGCTTACTCATCCACACCACTGCTTTAACAATTTCGTCGACAGTTGCCCGGAAACCACCAATGCCACAGAAACCCAAATTGCACTTTGTGGCAACCATACGTCCCTTCTGTTCCTTGCCAGGTCTCTTAAGGATGATATCATGGCCTACAAAAATGTCTACTGCGCATACTGCGAATCTTTACAGCGAATAGGACTCAATCGTTTAAATTGTGACTACCTGGAACGAGGATTGAATTTTCCTACCGTTTCATTTAAGCTCCTATTTGATTTCACTACGCAATCGGTTTATAACGAGGATAGTCGCTATTCGGGTAATTTACCCGCGGTCTTGGAGAAAATTGGTGAATGCAGTCTTTGGCAACAATACGATCCCTTCATTGGCGTGTGCAGAAACCTGACCTGCCCTGTTGGTAGAGTGTTGCAGATGGGTCAGTGTGTGGAATCAAAGGACCAGGTCACCACCCAAAAAACATCAACTGACTGTTGGCAACAACTTGTCACCTTACCAGGCATTGAGAATGCTTCGAGCCACAACCTACTGGGTAATTTGTCTGACCAGGCCACCATCTATGTTGATTTATCCGTAGTAGCACACATCCAAGACACCTTGGACCAGTTCTTCGCCACGCAATCGGTGTTGGCATGTAGTCCAACAGCATCACTGCTTCTGGTGGCATTGAGTGCTGGCATCAATGCGTCCAAAGGATTAGTCTGTGAGGGGCTCAACCAGCAAAATGTGGAAGTAAGCGAGATTGAGTACGCTGATGGTGCTTTCTATGTCAACATCAGCGGCTTTATATATGAGGACAGTGGGTTCGTTCATATTACGAAGTATGAGTTAACAAATGAAACTCGGTCGAGGAACGTGTACTTGACTTTATGCGACCCATTCATTGAGAGTGGCTGCTCTGTTCTCACATTTGACCAAAGTGATTTTCTAATCTCGGGTGCTGGCACAGACTTCATCTTTGTTCACAAGGCCTCTGGGAGCTCCTTCAATGCAAGTGATGTGTGGCAGTTACCGGACGGTACCGTTCGTATATGTAACTTTCTGTCAGGGGCTGAAACGGTTACTTACCCAGCGTGGCTCACAACCCTCTCGGAGTTCAGTTTTGCAGGCAGCGTGTGCTCGATTGCTGTGTTGGTCATCACGCTTATAACCTACTTGAGATTCCCAGTTTTGCGAAATATACCCGGTAAAATCCTGATGAATCTCATTGTTGCCTTTATCCTTTCCCAGGTAGTATTAGTGGCTGGTTCAACATCAGTTTCCTGGTTGTGCACGGCACGGGCAGTGGTGTTGCATTTTTCCTGGCTTGCTGCATTTATGTGGATGAGTGTTTTTGCAAGTAATTTAGCGTACAGCATGCGATCGATGAGGCCTCCTTTCCTCCAAGAAGGCAGTGATGGAAACAAAGTCATAAAGCTCTGCGTCGTGGCTTGGGGCTTGCCCGCCATCTTTGTGGCTGTCTGTTTCCTGGTGTCGAAGTTGAGCAGTGAGTACTCGTCTTTTGGTCTTGAGTATGGTGGCAGTCAGTGCTGGATTGTTGACTCTACACATGCTTTGTTGGTGTTTGGCATCCCATTGTCTGTTCTTCTTCTTGTCAACTGTTTGTTTCTTGTCATCATGATCTACACAGTGACTGCAAACCACCGAAGGCTAGCTGCTTCAAGAATGGCAACTGATGGCAAGACCTACGTTCAACTCTGCATTAAGGTAAGACATTTCAACAAGGTCACCGACTAATTATGAAATTAAATCGGGAACGAATATGTTGCTTTGAACCAAATCACACCCCCCTCCCCCAAAAAGTAAGATCGCACGCGAGGTGACACATTCTTTTTCATAACAGATTCGCTTGTGAAAAAAAATGAATTATTAAACGAGTTGTTAAGGTCGCTCATTTGCCAACATTTTCATTGGAAGAGGCACTTCCCTGTGAAATTAGTTGAATCGAGTTGAAAGTATTAACATTTCCCCTTTGAAAAAACGATATTTTTGTGGCGACAGTGCACACCGGCTAACATCCGGAAACGGCAACATTAAATCGGTCAATTGTGTTTGTTGCCACATAGCGACTGTACAGGTCCAAATATTATCGATCTTCTGAACCTCTTCATACAGCTGATAGTGGTTACTGGAGCGACTTGGTCTCTCTTCCTTGCTGCCAACTTGATCGACGTCGTCATCGTCTGGTACCTAGCCGTCTTTGTCAACTCCCTTCAAGGCGCCCTCGTCGGTTTGACGTTCCTCCTGAAGGACAACGTGAGGGTGCTGTGGTGGCAGCAGTGGATGAAGATTACCTGTTCTTGCCGTTGCCGTTTCATCCGACACACGACGGATGTCCAACAGCAGTCCGCCACAAACAGTTGTGCTTTGGCAGCTGTATCAGGGCGAAGCACTAATTCTGGATCTGCAGGAGGCATTGGGGATGGGGATTTGCCTTGTGTTGGGCACGTGGACCTTTCCAGGATCGACACTAAACTCTGAAGTCATGGAATTACTTAATAAAACAACTCGAATTTGAAAAAGAAAACACGTGCGTGTTCATGACATTGCTGTATTTGCACTTAATCCCGAAACCGCATGTTCTCATCTTAAAGCCAGTTGTGTATCGTATTCAAAAAATCGATATGAAATATCAGTCGAACAGAGATTTGAAACTGGGCTATTGTTTATGTAAAATGCTGGATTTATCCTCGGTACAAAGATGTCAGATAATCTATGCCTTCTCGGGCTTTTGCATTTTAAAACATCTACGTTTTCCCGGCTATTCTACTATTCAAAATTCAATAATAGTCAAATGTCTCTTAACGTTTTAAAACAGAAATAGTGGAACGGCATGCATTCGTGTATTGTGAACTAGGTATAATGTGTATGTTGTCTCGATACGATTAGGTTTATAGCAATGCATCTGTTTTAATTATAATGTATGCCTAATTGAGCTTTTGCAATTTAAAGCATCTACGCTTTCCCGGCTATTTTACGATTCGAAATTCACTAATAATCAAATTGTCTCTTAACGTTTTAAAATAGAAATAGTTGAACGGCATGTTTTTGTGTGTTGTAAACTTGGTATAATGTGTATGTTGACTGGATAGGATTAGGTTTATTACAATGTATTTGTTTTATACAGTCAGTATGTTGTAGTAATTGTCCAGAAATTATTACCAGTATATCTTTCTTAGAAAGTTCTTCAGTGGCATTACAGTGTAACCGTGTATTGTGGTTATATCCATTAAGTTCTTTAGACCGTTTGGCCTGTGCAAAGAGATTGCGTTTAGATTAAGTGCACTACTAGCTCTTTCTCTACAATCTTTAGGCCAAAAAAAAGGCTCCGGTTCCTGGTATGCGCGCGCGTCGCCGTAGCCATGCGCGTCGGCAAAATGAAAAAGTTTTTTTTTTAATGAAAGATGATGTCTCAAAATCGCCAAATTCACTGGTTTGACTGGAATCCTGCTGCTGCACAATTTTAACGTATTTTTAGATGGGGTTATGATCGAGAATAAGCTTTATGTGGCTTCTCTGGACTCCCATGTATTTGCACTAAGTATAGTCGGGCACCATTTGCAGTCATCAGCCGACATTTGAGGCAAAAAAATCAGGTACAAAAAAACAAAAGCCGCGTCGCCGCACTACTTTTTGGGCAAGCTCCATACCAGAAACGTACTTATTTTTTTTTGGCCTTAGAACTACACATTTGTGAAGACATACCTGTGTTTAATCCTGTGAATAAGTATTTTTGGGTGCTTTTTGAAAGTTTGATTTGAGCACCAGTGTGGAGAACGAACACTTTGCGTGAGAAGCAGTTTGTCCCGGCTGATCTGCTTTTTTTACTTCGCTGTGACAACGATTTTTTGTAAGCTGTCATTGTTGTCATTTTTACTGTGGGGCAGTGAACTGAACCCACTGTCACTGGATGCTGTACAACCATTTTTGTTGGACACTACAACTGTCGCCGGTAATATATCATAATGAGTGTCTCAAGGGGCGACTACACTATGGTTACAGCGCTATTGAGAAGGCGCCCTATCAGTCAGTTCTTACGTGGCCTGTTTGGTGCAGACCAGTTAATAGCACAAAATTACCTAGGCAGGCCAGATGACAGTTTGCATAATGTCATTGTTGTCTCATGTTATAAAGTTTTTATGCCCCTGCACCTTGAGTGTTTGTAGTTATGAAGGGTCCCAGCTCTGAACCGGTCTCTAAACTCGCATTTCAGAGAGAATTATTTGGGACGAAATTACACCCTAAAATCGCTTTATTCTGTTTGTAATTGAGTTGAAAATACGATTATCTAACGACTTGTCATCAAGTCAACTCATGCATGAACGTGTGTTTAGACTTTTTACTTTAGGCAGTGCTATCCTGAGATGTCAAATATTGCCTTTGTCTTATATTTTAATCTTATCAGTTTTGTTGCTGCCGTTGTCAGCTTCCTTCATACATATTTTTCCTTCCGATTATTCCAATATATTTTTTCTGATTAGTCCAATGTTATATACCTCTTTTTGAATTAATGTATTAATGTTCATTTATGAATGTTAAGTTTTCCCCTTTTATTTTTGTCTTTCTTTATTTCATAAAAAAAACTTTTAGGTATCCTATACAAAATATACAAGGCATAAATTTAGTCAATAATGTTCGGCTATACATGTATGACGCTTGCCCTTTCATTTTCATCTTCCTATATATTTCATTAAAAACCTTTTAGGTATACTAATAAATAAAGACACGAGAAATGCACTATGAAACAAGATTGTTGAATGGTCAATAAAGTTATTAGGTTACTTGCAGACGTGACTGGTATCGTTGCTTTGTTTGCTAAAAATTGAATGCTTTTAAAATCTAACAGGCTTTTAAACCGCCATCTCCAAAGTGGCATTGACATTTTGGATGGTTGGGTGCACCATGTGACACGAAAACCATTGATACAGGCCTAATGTCACTGTACTGTTAATGGCAAACTTATCTTGCACGGTTTTCGTCTTTCGACTTCAAACGTGGCTGACGGAAACCCGATAATGGCAATTTGGCACGTGTAATATTTCCTTAGAAACGTTGGATTGAGATATGCCCCAGAATAGAAAGTGCTATGTTGTTATTGAACGGCTCCGCAAGGCGAGAATAATGATGATTGCGGACGGTAAGGGAAAGGTTGCATTTCCCAATAATCATAGGAAAGAGAAGCAAGAATAAGTGGGGTTTTTTTCATAACAACATCTTCAACTGGCAAGGTGAACGTCGAAGTTTCATGTTGGTGAGTATATCTTGTAAATTGGAGTTTTTTGCAAGTATGGGTCTGTCTGTTGAATAAGCTAAAATGGATCAACATAATACGGTTGGATCGTGTGCGAGCTGCGAAGTTTTGAAGACGACTGGAAACAGGAAATTAGGCGGGGCTGATTTGTTGTTCATTATGGGTACGAACGTCATGGCTCACTGAAGTTTATATGGTCGCTTTTGTTACTCAATGTCATGAAATTCCTGCATCACAAAAACGAAACAACTGTGTGAGCTAGCTCCATGGTGACACCGAAGGTGTCAAAACGTCATGCATGTATCTGTGGTTATTACCATTCGTAACTTATTGTTTGAATGACAGTAATTGCATAAACTTTCAGTATGGCGAATTGGACTTGAGTTGCAGAGAATGGAAAAACGTATGGCAGCGTATTAAGAAAAACAGTCCTTCTGACTTAATTTTTAATAAGAAAAGCGATTGTATCGTCGGTGATAGCGACATAAAGACATTCAGAAGATGGAATTTTCTACAGACCGTTTCAAACCCGAATTTCCCAACAATTCAGTTCCACTTCACAGTCTATACAAAACACAAAGAATTCACGAAAAGTTCGTCCTTCTGCATAGTTTTCAAACATAAAAGCATGTCTGTATGAGGACTGATTTTGCTTCATTTGGATATTGTGCGAGGATTGATTAACTTGGGCCATCCTATAACGTGAAGAATTAAATTATGAGATGTTATGCCAATTAAACTGAAGATGTTCAGGAAATAAAAATTAATTTTCCATGGCTCACTGTACTAGAAAACACTTTGCACTCAGTATAAGAGTCTGCGTCGAGCCTTCGGCAACAAAAACTTATTGAAAAAGCGTATTGGTTGTGATTTGGAAAGAGAATTTATCAAATACTCTCGAATGATTGATTAATGTCGGGACATGTAACTCAAACACAGTTGATGGCGCCTAGCGCCTGAATGAGTACTCGAAAAGTTAAACTTGTCATTGTCTGTTAATGTTTCTGACAGATCAAGTAATCGGGTCAATAAATGATCATCCGGTGATTTATTGGCGACTCCTCAAGATATAAGGCTCCTCATCAAAGGTACGAGCAAGCACTGGTTTTACATCATTTCAGTACTTTTGATTCGCCATGGCCGACGCGATGACATGCGACCCTAACACTGTGAAAGACGTGCTTAACCTAACCGATGAAGCAGATGCATTAAAATGGGAGTACCCGGTTGCCCATATTCCCCTTTTGACTGTCGTCTTGCCTTTCCTACTTCTGCTTGGCCTGTTCTCTAACGGAACATTCTTATTCGTAGTTTTCCGCGTTCGGTGGATGCGTACTATCGTCAATCTGTACTTGGTCAACTTGGCCGTGGCCGACTTACTCTACCTGTCAGTCAGTTCACTAGATAAACTCGGTCGATACATGGCGTCTCGCGTGTTGGACGACCAATTCACCCTGGGTAAAGCTGGCTGTATTCTCGTGTACTTCACCTCTGATACAGCCAGCTTGGCATCCCTCACCGTAGTGACCCTGATTTCTATCGAGAGGTATCAGGCCATCTGCCGACCCGTACGGCACCGTTTGGCCCGTAGCTGGCGGCGCGCAGCTGTACACCTTGCCACAGGATGGTGCGTATCACTGCTATACGCCGGCTGCCTCGTTCCGGGAACAAGCGTCTTTGACACGTCCTGCGTTATTTGGCCCGACGCTCCTCGCTACTCGACCTATCCTCGCACGGTGGGATTCTGTGCGGGGCTGAACGAAGCTGCCGTCAACGCCGTCAACGGGGCACAAACATTGCCCTTCTTTATAACTCTGGTCATCAACGCCGTGCTTTTTGCAAAGATCAACAAGCAGCTAAACCGCACGAAACCAGGGAACGAGGAACCAACATTTTCCCGGGCTGTATCGCGCCGTCAAGCCCATGTCCGGCACCAAGTATCTCGAATGCTGCTCCTGAATGGTGTGGTGTCTTTCCTCTGTCTTGCGCCCTGGGAGATCACATCTTTCTCAACGATGCTATCGGGACTCATTAGGCCCGAATCACCGATCCTGAACAGGGAACAGCATCTTATTCTGGCCCAAGTGATGCGTTCATTCGTGTACCTCAACTCTTGTATCAATCCGCTGGTTTACAACGCGGCCAATTCGCGCTACCGGAAAGCTTTCCGTCTGGCTCTTTGCCCTTGCTCTCGAAGGAAAGTCGAACCCGCAAATCAACCAGAGACACGTCGACGTCAAGTTACCTCACGTACAGCTTTTGAATCCAACCACCAAAGCAATCCACGCTAAGCAAGTTGGACGACGTCGAGATTCAAAATTCACAAGTTCTGTGAGATTATCGACCTCCCAAACTACGGAACAAAATATTACATGCCTCTCACCATGGAGGTGGGAATCGGGATTAGAACCAGGGGGATTTTCATGCTAACGCCTTTTATTCCTACCTCCATGCTCTCACAAAACATGTTGTTGGTCCCAGAAGGTCAGCCCAGTCTACTCTTTGTACCTATCTGCCTGACTGTCACTTGTGAATTAGACTTGCTTATAAATAACCTCACCTTTGCCAAAACGTTTGACTCAGATCTGGGGTCAACTCTACAATGTTGATGACCAATTCCTAAATGGAAGTAGTCCATTACCGTGTAGAAAGCTACTAAAGGTGAAGGGCTAGAAGGAGGACAGAAAGAACATTTAACGAAAGCGAAGAACAGATTTACCTTTTCAGATGGAAAAGAAATTCTCTTAAAAGACTGATGAAGTCACAGCAATGAAGGATACCAAGCCTCAAACAATGAGTTCCACAAAGATGCCACGCGTGGGAAAAAAATTTCATAAATAGTTATACAACTTATACAAGGATCGCTAGTATGAGTGTGATGAGACTGCAAACTTGCAAACTGAGCCCTCCGCTCACATACCTAAAGCCACGTAGAAGCATTTGCAGTTACCCAGTTACCTACCTATTTGACGAGTTAATCCTTGCTCAAAACGAAGATAGGACTAGTAACAAATACCCTACGGCGTTATTCCGCCTGAAACGGTATCGGAATAAAACAATTATTGAAGGTGGTTTAGAAAATATGCTGCGAAGTTTTATACGTGCCTTCATTTACAATGGAATCTAGTCACGAGACCACAAAGATTGTGCATACATTTTCGATGTGTTCTCAAACAATATCTACTGAGCTGAAACTCCAACAAGTTTGTTGTGCACCCTTCTTAAGATTTTGAGCACATGTGGCTTCAAACGGAAGAAAAATGTAGAAAAGAAAAGTTCCAATGCATGTATCTCTAACTAACATAGTAATCAATGCGTATGAAGGTTGCGGTTGTTAGTTGTTGTGAGTATTTCTTTTTTTTTCATTTTATAGTTACTTTTTTCAAATATGTTAGCTAAAATGTTATCATAATGTGATATCGGGGCCTTTTTCAAAATTCGAAATTCAAACTTTTTTTCAAAATTTGAAAAGAAGTTATGTTTCGACACGACAATAATGCAGCAATGGCTTTTTCTTGTCAACATAGGGGGCATACTGGTTCCCGGTCCCTCCATTCAACCTTCGTACTTCAAATGTAGCGGGACCAGTTAACGGGTAATCAATTAGGAATACATTATGTATGCAAATTGTTTGCAGGACTAGCATATGTCTGATTCCCGCCCCTAAATATAAAATCACAACAACTGCTGGTTCCCCAGTCAACACTGGGGGAAACAGCTGCTTGAATAATTCGCTAAGCTAGAGCTACAGGGGGCTTGAACGTCACCAATCAAGTTTCTTTCACTCGACAATCTGGTTTTTAAATGCATCAAACAATGTATGGAACTTACATCGTGTGCCGCTCGTTTTGACGATCAAAACCGCACTTGGTAACGTTTTCAGATTGCAAAATGTCCCTTGATGAATTCCCACTCCAGGGTTGATTCATCAGCAGTGTAATCGAATTCCTGAGTTACTAAGCAAAATTACGTTGGCACACTGTGAGAGATCTATACACCTTCAATCATGTTGTACTTACTGTGATGTATGGACGTGGCAAGGCAGCCAGCCTGCCTATGTTTGTTTTAGGTGGACGCTATTGGACTTGTTTTCCTGCGGACAAAAGTGAATAATGAATAGTCCGGTTCCTGATGCATACATTGGCCTCAATTGAAAGGCCGTGCACGGCGTAGTGAGCTTTGATGGGGTGGTTGATGGCCAAGAAGGACTTTACAAACAACTGCGATGAGTGGGTTTTAATTTAGTAGTTGCAAAATAAAAAAATCGATGATTGATGATTGATACAAATAAACAAGTGCGGTGTGTGTCTCAAAGTATCGTCCGTTACTCAACCAAAGACTCCATAGTTGTGTGTTTGATAAAAGGTAAAGGCAAAGGTACCCATAGCCATTATTGGCCGTAGGGGCAGTGGGATGTTAGAGTTCCACTGAGTCTTGGGCGCGGCATATGTGTTTGATAGTGCGGATTAAAACCAAAAAAATATGTCTGATGTTGTCCATTAGTTAAAGGGGCATTACGGCCTGAAATCCCCGAAAATGTCATGTTTTGGGTTGTTTACTTATGCTATTGGTTGAAAGAAAGCTCACCTAATGTCTAACCGTTCCCGATAAAAGACCCGGTCGTTTACATCGGATGCAATGTACGCATACGTGTTTCCTGTCGTTTTCATTCAATGTATTCAATGTTTTGAATTCGGCGAAGCCCTGAATGGGTGTGCGCAAGCGTTGACATGACGCACACACGCGCGCAGTTGCTATAATTCGCCGGTTCAGTGCGCGACATCGCGTAGCTGCAATCGGCTGATTGAGAACGTGTCTCGGACGCTGAATTTGGGCGCCGGCACAATTCGGCAACCTTTGAATTGAAATCGAGATCCTAGAATAAAGCTTTATAGGGTTAGTTAAGCGCCCTTCTCTAGGTGTTGAGCAATTTTGTTGCTCAAACGAACATAATGCACAAATTACAAATGATGTACCTTTAATTATTTTTGTGCGTGTGAGAAACAACATTTACGCGTAATATCGTAATGTCACACTAGTCATAGGTGGCTGTGGATCACAGCAAATAATGTCAATAATGAAACCGACACTATTATTTTGACAAAAATGATCAAAATAGGTACCAAATGATGAATTCTAATTCAAAAATGCAACAACAAAAAACACCAATTGGTTATTTCCACAGTCGCCCTAACAATAATTTCCTGTCTGATGACGTCATTATAAAACGTTGCAAAGAAATGTTCTTGTTCAAAAAATTTTTTGGGCAAGTCGGTAAAATTTCAACAACTGGTTTTAAAATTAAATATAAACTACTTTATCGGACGTGCTACTAAATTGCGCCCTCTTCGTTGATGACATCATGACATATTTCCAGATTACTATTACTCACTGACCATTTCCTGTATTATTATTGCTGTAGTAAAATACTTCCATTTTCAAGTTATATTCTTTATCATTGCACCTCTGGTAACTCCGGAAGTATGGTCTAGCGGTTTTGTGCCCGGGAATCAAAATTGTTGCCCAAGCTAATGTCTACCAGCTCAAAACAAAACTGAACCCAAGAATCAATTCAGTTCAAGAGATGAGAGTTGAAAGTATGTTGTCAAGTTTTGACCTTAAAGTGTCCAAGAAATGAATTTTTCTGAGGAACACATTTTGTACAACTTTCTACTCCTCTCAAAATGTATGAAAAATGTTTGACATCCCCTTTTATAAGGTTAATTGTATTCAAATGTGCACATCTTTAAACACTTTAAAAATTTCCAATGCAGGCCGCTAATGCTGTAATGTCATTTCAGGAAGACACTGTTCAGTTATGGGGTTTTCTGTTCAAATGAGAACCCAAAAATCTGCTCATTGAAAACATTAGAGAGAAAAGTTTGCACATGGCGTTAAGCCATGTACTCAGTGGCGTAGCCACGGGGGGGGGGGGGGACAGCTCCCCCCCCCCCATGAAACCTTGTCGCCCCCAAGTCCCCCCCCCCCCCCCCCACTGAGATTTTGAGTTTCCAAAAAAATTATCATTGATCTACATGACGCCCCCCCCCCATGAAATGTTCGGTCATTATGCGCATTATGTGCCCATTTTCAGGGCGCATTTGTAAGGGTTTTGGGGCTTGGTTTTCATATTCCTCGTTCATATCAGAATTCTCTATACCAATTTGGGAAATGGTTACTGAAAACAAATTATCCGAAATGTTAGGGCCAGTTTTGTTTTCATCTCGAGGGGGCACACTTATGTCCGCAAAAGGGGCACTTGTGTAAAACTGGGGGGAAGGTCCCCTCCCCCCCTCCTTCCCGGTTCCACTTGGGACTTTGTTTTCATATTCCTCGTTTATATCAAAAATATCTATACCATTATTGGGATATGGTTACTTATTAGAAATATTAACATACTTTAAGGGCATTTTTGTGGTATCTTGAGGGGGCACTTTACTGTCCGAAGGGGCACATTTATGGTCGAAAAAGGGGCACTTTGGAAAATCTGGGGGCAAATGCCCCCCAGCCCCCCGGTTCCGCCGCCCCTGAGGACAGTGAAATCACAGCACAGGACCTGCATAGAGTGACGTGTTTTTATTAACCGTTGCAATTTATGCTCCCTCTATTCCTTTTACAAAAAAAATGACATACAGACAGACTAACATCAGATACAGTAGGATCTTTTAATATAGTATTGGTGAATGTTAGCGCGAACTTTAGTAAGGCCAACGTGGAAACAGGAGGACTGATAAGGCCATCAAAAATGGTCTTCAAAAAGACGGCAGCTAGAACTGTGTCACTGTTTGGATATAGAGGCTATTAAAAAGAATGGAAAAAATACTGAATTGATAAAATTACTTTAAACTTTCGATGCAGAAAACAAGTCAGAATCTCTGAAGACGACAAACGTCATCGGCTGTCTGGAAACCATGACAACGGGGAAATGGAATAAGGCCCGAAATGTATTGCGTTTACTTTAATAGCTCCCAGAGGTTTTTTCACGTTAAGAACATTTGAAGAGAGGTTTGTTTAAAGTGGGGAAAGTTACATTGTTAAATGCCTCAAATAATATACTGACGTGCACATTTGACGTCCAATATTATGCCATTCTTCATAATCTATATAAGCTCTGACGTCATCGTTTGAAAGTATATAAGAACATCTGCCGCATGAAAGAGAAGTCCCATTTAGCCGTTGAAGTACAAACATGGATTTATCTATCTTTTCACTCAGTGGTTCAGGCAGCAAGACCCACGGAGCTTTTGCACTGAACAAATCATTATGGTTCAATTTAAGTTTGATCGTGATGATAGTGTTGGGATCGGTGGGCAACGGTCTGTGCTGCTACGCAGCTACTAGTGGATACTGGTGAAACCAATACGGTACTTTCTCCGAAGTTGTTCTACGAGATCCCCCCAAGTAAAAGACTCAGGCTTGTGAGGGAAGGAACAGGTGTAGGGACAGCGAGTGGTGGGCTATTGGAGACTAATAAGGCAACACCTACATCGAAATATAGGGAAGGCAGAATCACCTACATAGTTAATGCAGTACATGTATTTAGCAACATTGGCCAATTGGACGGACTCCTGGGCATGGACTTCTTAATACAGACAAAATGAAGTTTAAATTTTCAGACTCTGGAGCTGAAAATTTGTAACAAAATAAAATGTACAGATACCAAGGGAGGCAGATTTTGTGCCAGATTGATTGTGGCTTTCAATATTCACGTACAAGTTGAATCTTTTTTTAATTTTTTTATTTTAATAACCAAACAAGAGAAGGAATGAAGTCGACTGTTTTTAAATCGATGCAGTATATTTCACTCATCCCTTTCCACTCCACGGATTCATATGTTACCCCCCCCCCCAAAAAAAAACAGGGGGGGGGGAGAATGCCCCATATCCTCTGATTATGAGTCTCAAACTGTAACCACGAGGTCACAATCCCCAAACAATGGATTTTGGAAATAAAATGTCTTTCATCTGACTAAATATGTTGCACAACACTTTGTTTGCTCAGCAGGTTCGATATATTTGACACAAATCATCAGAAACACGGGAATATGCTTTGTAGGGATTCTTAAATAAACATCTGACAATGTCTGACAAGAACGGAAGGAAAGCTAACAAAGTAGGCTGCAAGAGTCACTGAAAGACATTATTTCTATGAAATATCGACTACAGGATGATCCTGAATTGTGCGCATATCGGCTACATATATGCATTCAGATATGCAAATAACTGTACAAACGCTGTAAAATATTTTGAGCTATCCGTAGGTTTGTACACAAGCATGGTTGTGCCTGGAAGACTACATTGTGCAGCTCTCTCATAGTTTTATACACAGGTAGCTACATGTATACGCTTGCATCCCACTCTGGTTAGTCTATGATCAGCACCCTGAGTGTATACACGTACATGATGAATCGGCAGTGTCTCAGATGTTGGTATATTATCTTGCCCTCCACAGTAACTGAACCCCAAAACGCCCTAAACAAAGTTATGTTCCTATTATTGTCAATAAAACCTTGATCAACATCTCTTCTTCCAAACTCTAAGTCTGCTGCATTTCAGTTTTGCAGGGTGGGGGTTCAATGTCTGGGGTTTCGTAGCTTCCCTTCAGCTTCAAATCCAGGATGCAACTGGGTGTCATTTCTCGTTCAAACTGGTGTCCATGGAACTGTCTAGCGTGGTTTCCATTGGCACTTCCTTTCCCTTGTCATCCTCTGTGGTTCGACAAATAGCAAGAAAATTATACTTGGTTATAATTCCACTGGGACATGTGGGTAATGACTGTGATTCATAATACATTGTGCAACAAAGTGTTTGCCTCAAAAAGGCTATTGTCAATTTCACAGTCAATGCATCATGCATGTCTTCGTCCTAGATTAGATTTTTTCATTTTGTTCCCCTCATGCAAATCTAGGCTTGGGAACTTTGACACTCAGACCTAAGAAATTCAAGCATTCTCCAAGTAATAATGATAATAATAATAATAATAGCAGGTTCTTATAAAGCGCACATATCCTAAACAAAGCTAGATCAAGGCGCTTGACAAAAAAAAATACAAAAAAATTAATGAATTAATGAGCTCTGAATAGTTCTGTCTTCAAACATTTCCTAAATGTTGTCACCGAGCCAGACTGGCGGATTGCTTGAGGGAGCTTGTTCCACAGATGGGGGCCAGAATAACCAAAGGCACCCTGGCCAATCGATTTGTTGCAGATGGGAAAGTGTTGTTGAGTCTTGTAGTTTACGGAGTCGGCTGTCGCGGTGATAGAAGGTGAGGAGATTGTTCAGGTAGACGGGTGCTGAGGAGTGAATGCATTTCCAGACGAAGAGCATGATTTTGAACTTGATTCTCTCGGAAACTGGAAGCCAATGAAGTTCATGAAGGATAGGGGTGATGTGTTGAAATTTGCCGGTTCCAGATATTAAGCGGGCTGCATGATTTTGGATTTGCTGTAATTTAACATATTTTTAAAGCGCTTTATTTATGCTAATATTCAGGCTTGATTTATACTCAGAATTTCTTGGGTCCAGGTGTCAAAATTGGCTTAAACCCTTGCCACAACTCAGTGTAAGTCATCATGACGGAAATAACTGCATTATTCACATCATCCAAACCCTGAAAGAAGTTTCAGATCTCACCTTCCAGTATTCTCTGTAGTTCCTGGATGGAGCTGATGAGGACGTGAAACTGCTTCCTGCGATCTTCCAGCTATAGGCATTGTAAATACAGATTTTAAAATATGTTAGGATGGGAACTGCTCAGTCTATAACCCTGTCAAGACCACACTTTTCTAAGTAACGAGTTTTCCAAATGAAACATTTTTTGGGCCAGTATCACATTTTTTTTAATGTTTCCATGCGTCGCTAAGAAACAACGGCTGAAGATGCTGTCCATTGTGCAGCCGTTTTGGGAATTTCACTTTTGTTTCTAGCCACAATGGTGGCAAATCAGGATTAAATAGGCGACAAAAAGTACTTCTGCTTCCAATTACATGGCATTTGAAAATAGGGTAGGTAGGTAGGGAATTATTATTTTTTTGGCCAATTATATTTTGTGTACGATCATATGAAGGCGTCTGCGTTTAGTCAAGGGTAAAAGGTAAAATAATTAGGGTGTTTTTTTCTTATTTTTCCCATAAAAAAAATTAGGGTAGGGGCTCTCAGAAAAGAATGGGTAGGGAAACCGGAAGCAGAACTCTTTTTTTGGGCCTTAATGTATTACATCATTCATGTTCAGGCAAACATTCTTAGCAAAGGTGAAAAAAAGGCATTATGTTATAAAACATTAATGTCATCCTTTATATTAAAAAAAACGTATCTTTTGCATCAATGACTGCAAAAAACAATAAATCAACAGTAATAAACCAAAAATAGTACAATAAAGTGGACTATACACAGACAGGGATTCTACCTTTTGTTCCAGGGTCTGTTTGCTGTGTTTGAGATTTGACAGCTCTCGATCAAGGTCCTCTAGTTTTCTGAAATAAAAGGGAAAAGCGAGTGTTGATTATTAAGGGAATAAATGTGTGTTACGTCGGTATTAAACACTCAGTTTAAAACCGGTGTAAGTCTGGATGGGCGATAATTACCTGAGGCGAAGCCGAGGGTAATTATCACTCATCCAGACTCACATGCATGTTCCCGACAGGCGGGAATCAATCACAGTTGATCTGTGTGAAGTTCCAACGTTGTGCGTGCATCCGGACCATCTAAGTTTATTGTGAAGCATCACTGCATTGTGGATAACATGAGCATGGTTGCGATTATTCTGTGTCGAGATGCTGCTTGTTCTATGAGAATCACAAGATTTCTCAGTTTCTTGACCTGAGCATCATTATTTCTCTGCTTGATGCCGATGGGTCTGTTACGGCGCAAGCAATCGCAGGTTGACCCGAGCGCCACTTTAGGGAACCAAATCTAAATCTAGCCTTGGACTAAAACTAATCTTGATAATTGGAGTTCTAAGAGTCGACCAGACAAGACACTTACTTCATGGATTCCTTGCGATCTGGTTGGTTCTTGATGACCTTGGCTAAGGCGTCATATTCCTGCCTGTTCTTGCGCACTCTCTTGGCGTCCTGTACTTGGAGTTTGCAAGCAGAGATCTTGGCATAAGCCTCCTTTATGCTCTGCTCTGTTGGACAAATGAATAAAGAAGACAGTCGAGTCTTGTTAATACAAACTCGTTCGGACCTAGCCCAATTGTTTGTTATATCAGAATTGTGTATTAAGAGGAACATCAGTCCCATTCGTTGTGCACATAAATGCACAGTCTGGACTAAGGCTTTATGTTTGTTATAACCAGAATTTTGTATTAACAGAGTTTGTACAAACGAGATTCGACTGTAGTAAAAAACTTGATTTTGCAACTTTTCAGTTTGTAGATGCAGATGGCATAATGGTAGTCTATGTACATATGATTTAGTAAAGTCAACTCCGATTGGCCGGCGCGCGGCTTGCATATATGTCTGCATGTTTGGACATATCAGACGTTATACAGGAGACTTGGCTCCGTGGATAACGGGTGATACTCAGACTAACATAATGGCCCATAATTTGCATATTCATCAATTAAATATACATACTTGAAAAAGGAGCATGGAGAAAATGAAGTAGAATCACCTAAAGAATCATCTAATAATCAAAAGCATGACATAAAGAGAGATGCTGAAGATGCAAAAAAAAAACTTCAAAAATGAAATTGAGGATTATATTGCTTTCTCAACATTGATTAGCCCATAAAATATGGAAAGTGCAACTTTGGTCACCTTTTATCACAGCGATTGACAAACTATGCAGCCTGTATATATTTTCTGTGGTACACCCAAGGAGGTTGAGGGACTTGAGGCCTCGCCCATCTCCCCCCCCCCCCCAACCCACCTCCAAAAAAAATTAAAAGGGGGAAAAGAGAGAGAAAAGAAGAATCCCTTGGCCGATATTATAACTTAAAATTGTGCATTTATTGCACAGTAGAAAAATATGACAGCAAAATTACAGCATTACTGTCTTAGGAGGTCCAGCCTCCCCTCCCCGTCTCTTATTGATGGGTGTGTCACTGTGTGGCCTGTAACACACACATTGGCCTTACCAATTTCACTGTAAAGTTCTTCATAGTTGGTCATTTCTTTGGTGTTCATGTCGTGAATCAGTTGGGTCTTCTCCATGGCAAATTCAACCTGTGCCAGGATGGACTGCATCTTCTGATATGTGGCCAAGCTAAGAGAAAGTGCAGGAATCTAACGTTACAACTCTTTGAATCTCACTTTCAAGGGGTAGCCTATTGATACAATGAAAAGTAACAGAAAAGTGGCATGTCTGCGCATTTATTTATATTGCATAATCCAAATACATGTACTTCAAATAAATTTGGTTTTAGAGAGATATTGCTCAGATCCTGTCGTATGCATATCTGCACAAAGTCATTAGTGCGAGTTTCATTTTGGTTTGACCTTAACTTCGACAATTTCTACATGCTTATGGTTATGGTACCTTTCTTCATCGGATGTGTCACTATTGCACCACTTGATGAACATCCTGAGGAGTGTGTTGATGCGGCGATCATCTCCACCGCTTTCTCCTTCAATAAGGAGCCGTCTACGAATCACTTCATCTAGGACAAAAACAATTAAATATATACTATGATTCCTTTCAAATAGGAGGTTACAGTCTATGCAGTATGCTTTGAAGTGTTTGGCATTGTAAGGTGGGTTGGGACACCAGAAACTTCTTTGGCATCAGAGTGCTCGCATAGAATTCGCTAGCGATTCAAAATACTCCCATATGTTGTGTACAAAATTGAAAACGTATTCACCAAGTCGGTAATTGAACATCAATGGTCAGCATCATTTGGTCTGGAAACCAGACTACACACATTGCAGCGATATTTTGCATGCTCCACGCATGCCAGTAACTGGTACCGCGCGTACGCAAAACAATTACTGACTTGGCCCCACAGTAAACTTCCTGACCAACAATAAATAGGAATAAAGGAAAGGAGAGGGTGAAAGTAGAGAAGGGAAAGTGGAGGAAATAATAAAGGATGCAACTTTTTGGCACTTGAAAAAAGTGGTGGCCTAGTACGAAAATCTTTTCCTGTCTCCAGCGTTACATCATGTGAGTTCCTGATGAGCATGTAAGCTGGATGTTACTCAAGCTAGTACCAACGAAGTGGCGACGTCTGGATACATTCTTTCCAAAATTTTAAAAACAAAGATTCAACATGTGCAAAATTAGGTTAAACAAGATTTTTTTATGAAAAAGTTCCCCCCTCGTATACGATCCAAGTACAATATAGTCGTTGAATTTCAAGTTTTCTAAATAAAAGCAATGAAAATTAATTATCAACTCATTCTTTTAAGTAGCTAATAAAACCTATAATATATTAGGCCCTATACACAGAAATACTCGGGCGCTATCCGTTTGTCGACGAAATGAATTCAGCAAACCTCTGACATTCTCGGGAAAAGGAGGAATACCTCCCATTTAAGTCACGTGACGTTATTTGGGAGCAACTTTTGAATGCAGGGCCACACCAGAGCAGGGTTATTTTTGTAGTTGGAGGCAATGTGAAGAGTAAGGCTGTTACAGAGAGAACGAGGAGACAATGTGTGTTTGAGCTGCAGGCACGCACAAAAAATGGCCAAGTGCAAAGTGCAGGCAAGTAGAGGGCGGGCTTGTTTTTGAGAATGAGGCATCCATATCCAATTTGGTTTTAAAACATCCATCACAGAGGGCGGGCTTGTGATCGGGCACTGGATCTGTGGCCATGGAGGCGAGGAGTCGCGGATCCTTGGATGTGTGAATGCCAATGCACAAGCGAGGGCAGGCTTGTGATCGGGCACTTGATCTTTGGATGCACGGAGCCGAGGAGCCGTGCAGCCGTAGAGCCACGGAGTCACGGAGTCGCGGATCCTTGGATGTGGGATGGGAATGCCTTCGTATCGGTAGAGGGCGCAATTCTGGGAGGAGCCGTGGAGCCATGGAGCCGTGGAGCCTCGGAGTCACAGATCCTTTGTTTGTGTTATGGGAATGCATTCAATATCGGTAGAGGGTGCAATTCTCGGAGGTAGGTCGACTGTGCCTCCGCCTCCACGGCACTGCTCCACGCAGCCATATGGATGCGCGGATATCGAGTGCAGTGGCCCTGTATTCTATAGTTGTGCCATTATTTGTAATACAAAAAACTATTACTTATTAGTGACGGCTACCTGACCTTAGACAGAATCTATTGGTATGGGAACCAGACTACACACACAATAAGAAATAGGAAGTGTATATTTTGCCGGAGGTAACGCCGGCAAACTAACGTTTACTAAAGGTCTGCCGGCGGCAATCCATATCAACAGAGGGCGCTATACTCTTTAAGATAGGGCTGAATTATAATAATAATGGAGTCTTATATAGCGCACGTATCTACCAACAATTAGGTACTCAAGGCGCTGGAAATTAGGCCTATGTCAATTATTAAAGAAAGGTAAATAAAGTTTATGAGAAATATGAGACCCATTATGTAGCACCTTATAATGGTTTACAAGGTGCTGCGGCGCACATTGCAGCCACTGCCAGAAACACCGGGGCAAACCCCTTCTCTTAGCGATAAGTGTTACTGGGTTCTTTAACGTGCATTACACAACACATATAATAATATGTATTAAATTCCCACCAAAGTTGTGTAGCACAGTCGGTGCAGTGGATAAGCAATTGCTCTAGTGAGTGGGATGTCCCGAGTTCGAATCCTGATCCTTGCCACATTTATAAGGTTTTTTTTTTCATCCCCAAATAAATTAATAAGAATATTCTTCTTTTATTATTTTAACATGTCTCAAACATTTTATTGCAGAGTATTACATTTTCTTTTTCAGATTTGTGGCTCTGGAGGATTTTTTTAAAAAGGGAAATAAAGTCCGAAATTATAAAATGGTCTGAATCCCATCTTGTGAATACGAGGTTACAACGATAATATTGGCATGGAGCCAGACTAAAATTTGTCACCGGAAAATGTTTAAGTACAAAAAAACAGTAACTGCACATGTTCAGTGCATATCCGGCAAACTAACGTTTACTGAAGGTTTGCCGTCTCCGGCAAAATATCCACTGCCTAAGAAATATGAATCTGAACATGCTGAAAAGTGAATGTCATAAACCAGTCTTTTCCGGACCACTCTTCGTAACAATTGGAATATTAATTCCTGCAAACACTTCCCGAAAGGTAATAAATTAGTGTTCATCAATCGCTGAAACTTGCAATCCAAATTATGCGGCATAAAGATACATGCTTACCATCTGTGACTGTGGCCATCTTTCGCATATGTAGCCGGCCTAGCGCGCTACTAGTTGGCGAGAATATCCGGTATCCGTCGTGGATTTTCATGATAGCGCCCTCTGCCGATGAAATCGGCTTGCACGTTCGCTCGTAAGGATGCAACCCTGCAAGTAAATTCCCATAGACACTACTGCTAAATGCCCATACTTCAAAATTCTTTTTAAAATACTCAGAACTCTCACAGGTATTCAAGCTGCACAGAAAAATGATGATCAACATTTCATCTTTCGTTTTTTTTTCATTTTTTGGTGGGTTGACCATTGACTTTTCGAGATATTCTCACCCAAAGAAGACGACCCCTATTTTCCCCAAAGCGGAATCGTAGCCATCTTGAAAAACGATCCCTCCACAACATGGCAAAATAGCGCCACTTTCGAGCCCAATAGCATCCAAAATGCTCAGAATTGAAAGCCCCAAGTCCGGGCCAGAGGTTCATTACCATATCTCTTCAATTCCCCAATTTTACGGTGCTCAGAACTCTCTAATATATATGAAGCCCGGGAAGGGACAGGGTGGAATTTTTTTTTGGAGTTTGCTAATTCGTTCGCACGAATTACTAATTTATATAGAGATCAGTGCTCGTACCCCCCGGCCCCCGCCCTGCAAACAGTCCTGTTTGCAGGGCGGGGTACGAGAAAACTCGTCCCCAGGGTGTCGAGAAGTACGCGCCCACCACGACTATTGGAAACAACGTTGGAAATAAAGTAAGCACTGGGGACGAGGTTGGGGTACGAGCGAATCGGTGAAGCTCATCAGAGAGTATCCCAGCGTCCTGTTTGCAGGGCGGGGTGTACGAGCGAACTGCAAAGATGAAGATAGCAGTGAATTTGGTTTTGCCATTGGCAGGATCGGTGGATAACCGTAGCCGTAACTCCAATTTTCAAAGAAAACTCGACGACCTACTCTTTCTCGCTGCTCGCGCCTTGATTTTTGTATTGGTACCAGTCTACAGCGCATGCCATCCTTTGGCGTGCATGTTTTGTGATTTCTATTATTATTATTATTATTATTATTATTTATTCGGCCAACAAAAGTACAATGACAAAGCAAATATATATATCATAAAGTAACAAAAAAACCGGGAAATTGAAAAAGTATAACCAGACAAGACTGATGGGACTGAAGGATGTGAGGAGGAATGGGCCGGGGGAGGGGGGTCAGGGGGGAGGGAAACTGCTGCTCTGCACGGAAACTTTGTCCAACAGCTCAGAGCTTTGTTCTTGCAAGGGCGGATCCAGAACACAATTTTTGGGGGGCCAAAAAAATGTTTGGTCCCCCAAAAAAGTGGGTCAAAAAATTACGGCGTGGGGTTCGGGGCCCGCTTAAGGGCCCCGAAACATTATTGGATTCTAGATGCTCTGTGGTGCGATCTGAGGCAATTTCTGACCACTTTAACCAAATGAATGTTTTTTTGAGGAAAAGATGGTGGTGTACTCATTGCCTGCCTTTATTGCGATGTCACATAAAAAAAAAATGGTTTCATTTTTTTTTTGGGGGGGGGGGCATGGCCCCCTTTGCCCCCCCCCCCCCCCTGGATCCGCCCTTGTGTTCTTGTACGTTGGCCGATTCATCCATAAGTCCGATTCAAGCGTCCGATTCAAGCATCCTAAACTACAGTTGGGCCGACCCAACTGTCGCACTACAGTAAGTTGGGACGCGTCCGGACGGTCCCAACTATAGTTGGGATCGATGCCATAGGGCGTTTATCAAACCTCAGGCTTCGGCTTCGGCTAAGGCTCCGGCTTTGACTTATGAGGCTTCGTCTTTGTGCGGCTCCGCGCCAAGCCTCAAGGCTGCTAAAAGCTTTGGAACGCGGAGGCTTCGGCTGGCTTCGCCTGGCTTCGACTAGCGGCTCCAACCATTCGCGATGCTTCGGCACCTTTCGTCGTTGCACGTTGTACATAACAATATTGTCGAGCTATGAATGACCATGGAATGACAATGATATTGATAAATAGCGCCAATAAATGGCTTTATTTGTGTCATATCCATACAAAAAAGCGGGCTCTGCTGTGAAATTTTGAGTCTGTCTTGAAATACTTTGCGGGAAAGAGTACAATGGGCATTATATCCAAATCTGATTTCTTTTCTCTGAATAAATTTTCGAATATTTTCATTCCAACCAAATAAATTCTTTTCCCCTCATTTTTGTGAAGTCTAGCTGTCACATTTTTCCTTTTTTTTTGGGGGGGGGGGTACTTTTATCGATACTGACTAGGTGAGAACCAGCCTAGCCCACGCGAACGGGAATTGTCTTACAACCACTAAATCGAAATCATCATCATCATCATCTAGGGTCGCAACCGAGATCTCCTTCACAACTTCAAGCAGCGGCGGCGGAACGGGTTTGAAACTGGGGGGGGGGCATCACCAAAAAAGGGGCACTTGCTCAGCATTTTTGCTGAAAACGGTCGACACGTTTTTTTCACCGGACACTTGGCCTCCGGGGGGGGGGGCTGGTAACACCTTTCAACATAGGGGGCGCTATTCAAAACCGATGATTATATGATAACTATGCATTATGTGCTCATTTTCAGGGCGTATTGTATGGGTTTTGGGGCATATCATTATTGGGAAATTGTTAATTTTAAGAAATAGTAAGATAATTTAAGATTTTTCAATTATCTCGAGGGGCCACTTTTATGCTCGAGGGGCACATTATTTTATGGCAGCAAAGGGGCAAATCCCCCGAAAGCCCCCCCCCCCCCCCCCCCGGTTCCGCCGCCCCTGACTCCACGCCAGGTGTCTTTATCCCTCATTATGTACGGAAGGTCTTCAATTGCACATTGGGTGTCTCTGCCAATCACATCAATGTAGTTGAAGGGTCTTCGTCCTGGCTATTAGGGCATGGAAGTCTCCAAAATTATACATCAGACCTGTTAAAGCATGGTAGCAGTAGTCAGCAAAGCGAACTCGTTGAGCAACAATAGCAGAGATAGGTGGAGTGTCTCCGTAAATCTGTTCTTTAGTCCTGTTCTCACGCCCTGGCATGTTCTGCAACGTCATAAGAAGCCTAGTGTATGTGCCATCAAGGCGATCTTGAAGCTCCTTCTTCATGGTCCAGGTTTCGGCTCCATAGAGAAGAATGCTCTCCACACAGGCTCTGAAGAAGGCCATCTTTGTTGATTGTGGTATACTTGATTGCGAAATAGTTAAGTTATAATTCAATAACTGAACAGGATTTTTTTGGTCAATGTCTCTCATCATTCAAAATTAAGTATTTTTTATTGCTTGGAAAATAATCATTACAAAAGGAATTAATTTTTCGGGATAATATTAGAAATAACACTGGCAAGTCTTAAAGATTTAGGTTTGATCTATCATCTACCCCTATGACAATGCCTACAGGGTCGCATAAGTTAGTTTGAAGACTGTTTTGCCGGGGGGTGAAATCTGAAGATTTTGATTGGGGGTACGAGTGAAAATGGTCAAAAAAGTTATTAGTAACGCAATAAGGCTATGTACCTATAGGACTCTACTATCGCCCGACCATGTCCAAATGTTAAAAAAGGTGATTCGTAGAGTCCTAGTTACTAAACGGACTAACATTTTTGTTTGTCCGTCACGTGACACATACGTCACGGAGCCCCATATGAAGTCCCCTCCTTGCAAGGCTTCGCCAGGCTCCAATATTTGGGCCTAAAAATGGAGCCGCATAGTAAATGAAGCCTAACCATTGATCTCCATATATGGAGATCAATGAGCCTAACTTAAATCGGAGCCTTCATTTGGTAGAGGCTTCAAAATGGCTGCATATGGAGACGAAGCCGGAGACGAAGCCGAAGACGAAGCCTAAGCCGAGGTTTGGTAAACCCCCTAAGCCTAAGGGGCGTAACAACGTTATTTGTTATATGTAGACTGGCTGTGAGTCATATTTTGTGAACGCCGCTAAACTAATGCATTGAAAACACTACATAAACGCCGCATACAACTATAACGACTGCCATTAAGTCTACAATTGATTTGAGGTCGGAAGGTCATATTACTAAACCAATCAGAACAGGCGTCTTAAAACTTTTTCTGGCACTGTTGACCTTAGTTGACACGACAGATGACGCACAAACAACACAAGCAAAGTTCAATCCAACAAACTATCGCTAGCGCCGCCAATCCTGAAAAATAACCGATCCGTAAGGTTATCGCAAGGTCTAGGTACGTGACACGTCGCTGTGATAACCTAAACGTCGCCATACGGTAGGGAACCATCATCATGCTAGCAGCTTCTAGATTTATCAGGCGTTTCTCCACGTCTCAGGTAAGAAGTCAAGAAGAATCTTTCATTTTAACTTAAGCACATCACACTGATCATGATCGATTCAGTGAATCAGTCTCACTCTCTCGGTCTCAGACTCGGTCTTCCCAAGGCCAAGAGCGGCGCGTGCAATTTCACACGGCACGGGGTCACCGTCACGTTTCCTCCATTTTTGAAGGGCAAAGGTCAAGGTCGCGGTCTCAGCTCATGAACATTGCATTAATGATTAATCGTGATGAAAATCACTTAGCATGCTTAGGCCTACGTGAGCTACAGAAATTTTTGTCAAAGAATATTCCAACCTGACGCCACTTTTTTCTTCATCATATTCTCAATTAACACTAGTCGAACCATCATGACCATGTTAACATTAACAGTTCGGGAAAAGTATGAATTCGACCATGGAGGAATAAATAGGGGGCCTAGCTAGCTAGAATTCGACAACGTTTTCCTCTTTAACAACCATTCATGATTCATAAATACCTTAGACAGTTTACGCATTCCTATTGGTCGAGAGCCCGTCACGTGGCCAGTCTTTAACGGATGATAAAGACATGGCTAGCTGGTCTTAAACACTTTTCCAGTGTCACAATAAAATGCGGACTCCTAAAAATCCAGTGCCTCTTATCGTTTGATTGGTTGAACGTTCACAATCCTCACGTAGGCATGCGCAACACTACCAGGGAGTCAGAATTTTATAGTTCTAAATTCAAAACGCAACGCGCCAGGTGCGTTCTGCACGACATCGCGCAGAACATGATACGCGCGCGTCAATCTCCATAAAAGGGTTGTTTACATCTTACTCCCCAGCTGAACACTCCATTATTTTGCAAGAGGGATGTTTCAAGAAACATAAAGTGAATTTGTTGAACAAAATCGGCATGTTTTGAACGAATTATATGATTTTTTTTTACCGAAAAGGTATTTATGAATGGGAATAAATATGTGCTCCGTCGGTATTTATCACTCTGTTTAAGACCACTTAGAGTCTGGGTGCTGATAATTACCCGAGCCTCGGCTCGGGTAATTATCAGCACCCAGACTCTAAGTGGTCTTAAACAGAGTGATAAAAACCTCTTGAGCACACATTTATTCCCTAATTGTCGAATTGTCACGATTAGCTTCAAACTTTAGCTTCAAATCCAAAAAAAAGATGGAAAATCTACGCAAAAGATATACTTTCTAGTTTTATATTATTATTTACAATCCTACTAGGATTCCTACCTAACTTTCTATCTGCGTAAATTTAAAACTCACCTGTACGTTTTGAGGAAATTTTCATTTACTTTTCACAACTCCCAACAACATGCCTAGTCCAGCAATGGCGCCATCTTGTCGACTGGCACTTCATCCTTTTCCGATGATTTCAATAACTGTTAACTTAATATTATAATATTAAGCCAGGAATTCACAAAAATTAATTTTTTAATGAGAACTATAAGTTTCATAGTGGTTAATTTTAAAGAAGACTATAACTTTTTTTCCTCAAAAGTTTAACGTTTTAGGTGTGCGACTTTGACAAACTGTTTAGCTTGATTGCGCGTCCTAGGGATCAAAACCAGACATCACCCTTGTGCAGCTGTGGTGGATGTCACCGGCAAGGTGGTCGGGCACGTGCCACGCAAAATTGGCAACGTGCTGGCCACTGGCCTGGTCCAGGGCCGTCCGCGTATTCACGGGCGAGTTCTAGCCCCATAAATGTGGCCAATGTACTGGACTACCTCCGTAAATAAAGGCCACACTTCCACCATGTACAAAAACATGTCGAACTTTGTCAAATTTTGATTTTCACATTTAGGCTTAGTTTGTAGGTTTTTTTGCTTTAGAAGCATACTCACCCTCTTTATAGGCTAATCACAAAGTGCTGCCTTTTTCAGATGTCTAATTTTCGTGAAATTTCATGTTAAAATTTTGATACGCAAACGTGTGCAAACGAATCTGGAAATTTCACTCAAAAAGAGGGCACATTTTCACCTCTTTTGAGAGCTCCGTGGACAGGACACACAGCGTGCGCGTACTGGTTCGCGAGTGAAGTACGCATGAGCCACGATGTCCTGAATGTGCAAAAGCTATAACCACCGCGTCTTCGTGTGAGTGTCAGGCATCGTCGGTGCGCGAATACGTTCTAATTCAACTTGCGATTGTCTCCGAGACTAAATCCCAACCTCATAACTTTTGATACATGCGAAATACGCAGTGGATGGATCGGGAACCAGTCTAGGTCAGCCCCAACTCTTCTTTTCTGGCCGTTGATTGGGGTATTTGTGCACAGAGCCCATAGGCCTACAATAAGTTGTATTATTATTTTGGTTTTATTTTTCATTCTGCCATGAAAACTATGCTGTGCCAATAGTTGGGCAAGCCCTAGCCCCACTAGTGTGGCAACGATATTGCTGCGCTGCACAGCAATACCGTTATCGCAGCAATACCACACTAGTGGGATTAGGCATACCCAACTGGCATGACTGGAACAATTTTAGTTGGGACGGTATGAAGTTGGGACCAATTGTAGTAAAGTTGGGGTGTACATATGTATGTAAAATTATTATCAACAATAAGTTGTGCAAAGGACAGACTTTTCTATTGCTCAGGTTCTGACAATTGTTTCATGCCCAATATTCATGGACTATGTTGAATACCAAGTCATTTTGAGAATTCCCCGAACCTGACATTTTGAAAATTACATGACGTTTTAAATTCTTATATCATAAGTAAGATTTGAGGCTTTGCATGGTGGAGATACTAAATAATGAAAGGTTTGCGGAAACACCATCTGGTTCTTTTCAGAACCATTCTGCGGGAACCTCTGGTTCTTTTCAGAACCATTCTCTTAGTTGAGAAATTATTCGCACATGGTGTTTCCGCAAACCTTTCATTATTCATAAATCATGTTACCTCTGAAACTATTGCAAATTGATTCTAGCATTGTTTTCAAAGAACCGGTACAAACAGGCTGAAACAACAGCCTGATGTTAATCTTGATTCAGTTACCTGTAACCATCCTCCACGTTGTTACACGGGTTTTTGAATTTAATGAGATCAGCAAACTTGATTTAGTTGAATATGTGAATACTATGCAAGCATTGGAACATTAATCCTGTGCACAGTACATGTACATGTATGGTATTTGAAAATGCCTATGGTTTGTGCATAACACCGAGATATGCAGGTTTTAATGAACAACCAAATATACACGTAACTCAACTTTATGATTTACTTTAAACCAAGCAGTTTTACATTAGGGCCAGTTTCTTGTCCCCGCAAGCCTTCTTCTTTTTTTCCATACATTTGCAATGTATTTTGCAAATATTTTGTCGATACATGTACATACATGTACATATACATGTATTGTCAATGTGCATCTAGGGTTACGGGCTCTTTGGACACAATTTTATATTGATCAGCAAAAGAGTCAAGAAAATCAGAGAATTCATCCGCAGTAATGGAAAATTCGCCATCTTGGGGAAGGGGGAGGGTGCCTCCTTCATTTTTCCAAAAAGCCCGGACAAGAAACGGAGAAGACTCGAAGAGGCACATGCCTGAAAGACAGGAGGCGTTTTGAAGCAATACACATTCCATGGACACTACTCACCCTCTGACACTTGGTGGCGCTGTTTGTTTGTGTGTGTGTGTCACAGACGTACGTGTATTAACGCATAGACCGCCAGTCGTGCATGAAAAACTGTAATTTGGAAAAATATGGGCAAAACGTTTGTTGGTAACGCATTTACCGTGTGCCGCGCATTCGACACAGCTACGGTAGTGTGCGTAGGTACCGGTAACTTAAAACCTGTATTGTACGTGTTCAGGTTTTTTTGTAAAAAGCTTTATTGCTCAAAATCTGCATGAAAATGTTGGGTACTGCATAGTTGAATCTACGTGAACCAGATTTAGTACACAACTAACACAAGGGATTTTTTTTACAATCAAAAAATAACTTCATAGAATTTATGACTGGAATTCTGTGAAAATTCCCTAGACCGAGAGGTGAATTTGCCCATAGTTTTATTTTTAATTGGGCGCCGCGTATGTCATGAAATCTTCATGAATGTACGATCAGGCAGTTCATGCGTTTGCGTGTGTGTGTGTGTAATTTGTTTGTTTGTTTGTTTGTTTATTTGAAATATTCATGTTTTATTTTTTTATAGATACTTTTTCCTTCTTTGTTTTGGTTGTATTTTTTTATGGGAGGTGGAATGACTTGCGTACTGCTGGAAAAATAGCGAATAAGAAAACAAATCTCTTTTATCTGGATGAAACTCGAAAGAGCACTGCGAATTACATGTATGCCACTTTAAATATCACATGATGGACACAAAGAATTGCTGCATATGACTCATACACTTCCTTCTGGGTAAATCTAAATTTGTTTGCGCAGCTAGTCACAGAAAAGGAACTGTTTTACATTCTGTGCACAAGATTTCCTTTTACCCTTCACGTACCTGAATCCATCAAAATCCACACCCCTGTTTTGAAGGATTTCGGCGGATTCAGGATACCTCCGTATTGAACAAGTTGGGAGACTTTGATCATTTGGTGTGTATGAGGTATATGTACTACATTGGTGGATTTTGATGGACTCACTGGTGGATTCTGATGGAACAGACACCAACATTTTGTTGCACGACAAAATTGGTAGATTTTGGTGGGTTTAGGACACTTTCTAGAAATACGTGTATTGCTCAAGGGGTTAGGGTTAAAGGTTGAATTTTGTCTTAGTTTCTTAATGTTACTAGATTAGTTACCCAACTTTTAGATAAACTGTCCTCATCCTAGCTTCAACAGTGGTTGATTTTTTTCTGATGACCATTTCTTTGTAATAAATTAAGGGAAGAATTAAAGTGAAACACAAATACTTATTGTTGAATATCCCAAAAAGGGTAGCTTTTACTTGTTTGCCCAATTCATTCAGTCAGTATGTCGGCAATTTTTTATGTGAATTAACTATTTTCGTGCTTGATTCGTAATGCATAGTTCATATACACGTACATACGATTATGTTC